CTCTACTTTCAGCTAACAGCAGGTCTACTTTGAGCTAACCTCAGCTATACTTTGAGCTAACAGCAGCTCTACTTTGAGCTAACAGCAGCTCTACCTTGAGCTAACAGCAGCTCTACTTCTAGCTAACAGTATCTCTACTGTGAGCTAACCGCAGCTCTACTTTGAGCTAACAGCAGCTCTACTTTAAGCTAACAGCAGCTCCACTTTCAGCTAACGGCAGCTCTGCTTTGAGCTAACAGTAGCTCTACTTTGAACAAACCGCAGCTCTACTTTGAGCTAACAGTAGCTCTGCTCTGAGCTAACAGCAGCTCTGCTCTGGGCTAACAGCAACTCTACTTTGAGCTTCAAACCAGTTATTTTGAAACCACCACTCCTCAATCCAAAGATGCTTCTCTGTTGACTTGTTTGTGTGAGGGATGGGGCTAATGGGGTACTAGCTGTGCTAGTAATTGTTAGCAACAATCCGAACTAGCTCAAACACTGCACTCCACTGCTTTGTACTGCATTCAAGACTGACGTCATGCGCTTTGTTTTGCTGCGTAATCACACGTAGCACCAGCCCGTTTTGCTGAAAATAAAAGCAAATCTTGCTTGCCCTGTTGTGCTCTTCCAGATGACGGATCGTGCTTCAGCAGTGTTTCTTTTCCCACCACTCTTCCCTATCCTACTCATTCACACTATCATTATAATTATCGTACCCACTAATTGCGTCCACTCTCAGAACGGGTGTTATCTAGCTATTTGCTGCGGTTCTGCCTTGCGCTATATTACATCCATTTAGCATTGCAGCTCTATGTTGAGCTGACAGCAGCTCTACTTTGAGCTAACAGCAGCTCTACTTTGAGCTAAAAGCAGCTCTCTTTTGAGCTAACCGCAGCTCTACTTTGAGCTAACAGCAGCTCTACTTTGAGCTAACCGCAGCTCGACTTTGAGCTAACAGCAACTCTACTTTGAGCTAACCGCAGCTCTACTTTCAGCTAACAGCAACTCTGCTCTGAGCTAAGAGCAGCTCTACTTTGAGCTTCAAACCAGTTGTTCCGGAACCAGCACTCCTCAATCCAAAGATGCCTCTTTGTTGACTTGTTTGTGGGAGGGATGGGGCTAATGGTATTAATTTTTATTCTCGTAGCTATGCAGAAGACGTTACTTCAGTAACGTCTGGCGCTAGCCAGGGTCCACACAGCTTTAATTCCCGTAGCTATGCAGAAGACGTTACTTCAGTAACGTCTGGCGCTAGCCAGGGTCCACACAGCTTTAATTTGGTATTTGTGTGTTTGTTTGTTTGTTTGTTTGTGTCACGCCTGGCGCTATCCGTATCTGACGGCAAAAAAAGCATAGGATGTTATAAATTTTTCAATTTTTCCTAATTTTTTCAGGCAAATCCTGGGATTCGAACCCGCACTATCGCCCTACATGCATTCCCCCATACACTTCGCATTCATACCCATTCTTCCAAGTTGCTTCACGTTATTATCTTGCGTTTGAAAGCCCTATTTAAATATTGCGGGCAGCTGTATGTGGCCAGCTGTGTTTAATGGTACGGTATGGTATGGGAGAGGGTGTCGTATTACCCTCGATCGTACCTGTCCCGTACCTATCCCCTACCGTACCGTGCCATCAAAGACGGCTGGCCACAATGCGTATTCAAATAGGGCTTTCAAATGCAAGATCACAATGTGAAACAACTTGGAAGAATCAGTATGTATGCGAAATGTATCGGGGGGATGCATGCAGGGCGCGCGATAGTGCGGGTTCGAATCCCAGGTTATGTCTTAAAAAGGATTTTTTTTAAAGAATTTATAACATCCCTATGCTTTTTTTTTGTCTAGGTCATCAAGGCAAAAAAGCATAGCGTAGGGCCCTGAGCTTCCAAGCTCTCTCGTTTTGTATTTGTGTGTTTGTTTGTTTGTGTCACGCCTGGCGCTATCCCGTATCTGACGGCAAAAAAAAGCATAGGGATGTTATACATTTTTCAATTCTCCTTTTTTTCAGGCATATCCTGGGATTCAAACCCGCACTATCGCCCTACATGCATTCCCCCATACACTTCGCATTCATACCCATTCGTCCAAGTTGCTTCACGTTATGATCTTGCGTTTGAAAGCCCTATTTGAATATTGCGGGCAGCTGTATGTGGCCAGCTGTGTTTGATGGTACGGTACGGTACGGGAGTAGGTGTCGTGTTGCCCTCGATCGTACCTGTCCCGTACCTATCCCTACCGTACCGTACCATCAAAGACGGCTGGCCACAACGCATATTCAAATAGTAGTAGTAGTAGTAGTAGTAGTAGTAGTAGATTTTATTATTTTACTAGGGGAGTCCCTACAGGCGTTGCCTTTTTTACTGGGAACCCTAGGTGAATTTTTACCATGTTTACATACAGAGTAAGAGACGGGGCCTGACGGCAGTCAGTGGGAAGAGCATTCCATCTGTCTGCCGCCAGGAAAGAAATAGAACGCATGCCATATTGCGTAGAAACAGGCGGAAGAACTAATGCGCGCTGTGCCTGGCCGCGCGTGCGAGCCTGGTGTCCAGGCACAGCAGCCCTAAGCTGGAACAAGGATTGGAGAAGGGGACTAGCAAGATGTGGGGTCAAGCAGCGGTACACGAAAACATAGAGTTTAAGATTTGTGCGCTGTTCAAAAGAATAGAGATGATATTTGAGGAGAACAATTTCAGTAGACATCATACGGTCAAACCCAAAAACTTTCTTCATTGCTATGTGACTGACCGTCACGATTTTATTGAACAGGGTGGCGCTGAGACAGTGCAGATAAGCGTTACTGGCATAGTCGAGAGTCGATTGCACAATGGATAAATAGAACGTCCTCTTCGCTTCGAATAGGGCTTTCAAATGCAAGATCATAATGTGAAGCAACGTGGAAGAATTAGTATGTATGCGAAGTGTATCGGGGGATGCATGCAGGGCGCGATAGTGCGGGTTAGAATCCCAGGTTATGTCTAAAAAAAAGGAATTTGTTAAAGACTTTATAACATCCCTATGCTTTTTTTGCCTAGGTCATTAAGGCCAAAAAAGCATAGCGTAGGGCCCTGAGCTTCCAAGCTCTCTCGTTTGGTATTTGTGTGTTTGTTTGTTTGCTTGTGTCACGCCTGGCGCTATCCGTATCTGACGGCAAAAAAGCATAGGATGTTATAAATTTTTCAATTCTCCAATTTTTTTAAAAGGCATATCCTGGGATTCGAACCCGCACTATCGCCCTACATGCATTCCCCCATACACTTCGCATTCATACCCATTCTTCCAAGTTGCTTCACGTTATTATCTTGCGTTTCAAAGCCCTATTTGAATATTGCGGGTAGCTGTATGTGGCCAGCTGTGTTTGATGGTACGGTACGGGAGACGGTGTCGTATTACCCTCGATCGTACCTGCCCCGTACCTATCCCCTACCGTACCGTGCCATCAAAGACGGCTGGCCACAATTCATATTCAAATAGGGCTTTCAAATGCAAGATCGCAATGTGAAACAACTTGGAAGAATTAGTATGTATGCAAAGTGTATCGGGGGATGCATGCAAGGCGCGCGATAGTGCGGGTTCGAATCCCAGGTTATGTCTTTAAAAAAAGGATTTTTTAAAGAATTTATAACATCCCTATGCTTTTTTTTTGTCTAGGTCATCAAGGCAAAAAAGCATAGCGTAGGGCCCTGGGCTTCCAAGCCCTCTCGTAAACAGAATTATTTTGGCTCAATAGCCAAAAAGTACCGTTAAAAAACTCCTTTTCAGGGAAAGGTACAGTGCCAAATGGAAAAGTGGTGTGGTATTTATTGAGTCAAAGTAAATATATTTGAATTTGATACGGTTGATGGTGTAGCCACTAATAAGTTTGGGTATTTATCAAAGATCAGTATATTGGGCCAATAATTCACATGTATATTCTTAAAATGACGTTGACGCGTATATCATAATAATGGACTCGTATGGAGAGCCAAGGATAAATTTAGAGTGAAGAAAAAGGACCAAGAAACTACAAGTTATGCTATAATGTCCACTAACACCGCCGGTTACTAAACAATCAGCAGACTTTCAGCTCGTGCTTGTCTTGGTTGCGCCCACCTTCCCCTCCTCCTGTTATTTCTATAACTTAGAACCTTCCAAGATGGAAGGCTGTTGGAGTGCGAATCGAGATGTGCTAGAGCTGTTAGCCAGTTAGTTGTAGAACGTCAGTACCGTCGGTCAGTGCTGTTCAATATATATCGCATGCGCTGAATGTTTAATAAGTGGTGGTGTTTGTGGACAGTATAGCGTATTTTGTAATTTCTTGGCCTTTTTTTAATAAAAAATTATTATAGAGGTGAATTAACGGGAAAGAAAGCACCAAGGAATTAAAGGGTACCCTATAATGGGGTAGATTTACTAGCTGTGCTAGTACTTGTTAGCAGCAATCCGAACTAGCGCATACACTGCACTGCATTGTTTCGTACTGCAATCAAGATTGACGTCACGCGCTTTGTTTTGCGGCGTGATCACGAAATTAGTGGCACACAGCCCGTTTTGCTAAAAAGAAAAACAAATATAGCTTGCCCTGTTGTGCACTTCCAGACAAAGGATCGTGCATCAGCGGTTTTTTTCCCTTCCGTAACTTTGCTGCCAGCCCGAGTGTCACCTCGATACGCTATTTCTTCAGAATGCCTGTCCTAACTATCGACACTCTTGAACAGACTTCCCAACTTGGCAGGTTCAAAGGTTAGTAAAAATACATAAAGAGGCGAAGCCAAGCGAAGACGAACTGTCACAAACCGAACGCCAATATCCCACTACACTCAATGTTGATGTGACGATGATGGACAAGTTTGTCCCAATATCCTTGTCAGTGTTGTGCCGCGTTGTCGCACTCTCTGACTGTAAATGGTCTCGTTACTTTGGTGAACAGTGGATCATAACTAGTAACTTATAGATCTCTTTATCTTTACATATTAGTATAGGCTCAACACGCAAGCTTAAACAAATAAGAACCTGGATTATTTCACTCTATCTTACAAGTTTATTATGTTCAGCCCATAGCCAGTCGGTGGTGACGTTAGACTGCGATCATGGCAGTGCACCGTATCAGGAGCTGGACAGGTGCATGGTGACGGGCATTGTTGTGCCCTGGTGCACACTGACATGACAAGCATGAGAACTATAGTCCTGCATGTGATAAGACGTGCGGACGCCTGTGCAAAGGTGGACAGATCAAAACGCCATAATGTACATACATAACGCTCAGGCTCATTGTATGTGTTCAACACAAGATGAGGAAATTGATGGCGCAAGCGAAACTTCATTATTTCCATGAATTCCTAGGCTGATTACCCAAGATTCAAACAGACTTTAACACAGATCTTCGGGATGCCAAATTTCTCCTTTCAACTGTCCTCTACCAGAAAGAAAATGTGTCCTATTTTGCAAACTGGCGCCACGCATAAATTGGTGCTATACGTTTAAAATATTGTTCGAATCTGCCGGGCCAGTAGATATATCATTACTATTGTTCGCACCTAGCTGCATCTCATGTTTTGCATTAAGTGGTCTTTGTAAAAAAAAAACTAAAAAAAAAAATCCTCCAGATGAGTACACCTGGCCCATGCACCCTCGGGACAAACGAATACAAACCAGCATATAGCTGGCAAAGCCGTAGAATAAGCAATAACCCTGAACAACTGCTCCGATTTCGTAACACAGAGAACACGGAAACGTGTTGTATGGGTATTATATGTGGGAATCAGTGGCCAGACGGGCAGCGAAATCCCCATGACCAATCACCTCCTGCGTGGCCAGTCAAACAGACCCCTTCCTCCCCCAATGACCAGTCAAAAGTAGGCTAGAAGTCGCAATGCCCCGTGTCAAGTCACAATGCTCTATGACCTGTCACAATGCCGTTTGTGATCGCTCATAGAGTGCTGTGTTTTTCCACGGTCATGAAAAACACAATGTACTTGCCAAAACGTACTTTCAAAATAATAGAGATTCTGTCGGATGCCCGCAAGATTTTTGACCACTTTCGTTTTCGACAAGAGCTCACACAAACACACACACACACAAAAACACACACATACACACACACACACACACACACACAAACACACACACAACAGGATTGAGTTACATGTAAATCCCTAGTTCATCGCCTGGATAAGTTCAGTTCCATCGTCACATTTTGGGGTTGATTTTATGACCGTTCATGGAGAAACCCGCGGCGGTTTTAGATTAATCCTCCCGATTAAAACCAGTGGGTGACTTTCTGACTTCTCATCGGGGATTTCGGACTGTTTGACTGGTCATGGGTATCGTGATCTGTTATGGAGACGTAACTGATCACTGAATCCTACAGAAAGCACTTTCAGTGCAGCAAAGGGGTCATTGGCTACCCCAGCCAAGTATTTCTTGAAATAAAATAAATGAATAAACTGCAAGAGCCATCGTGACCCATGGATGTGTTCATCTATGCGAATATCAAGTCTTGCAAACACATTAAACCATGGCCTGAGAAGGCAGTTAATCCAGGACAAGGAGGTATTGTGTAGGGACTTGAACGTTGAAGCAGACCATCCGATGCCGCAATAAGATGCGCTGCAGAAGTATAGAGCAATTTTCCATTCGTCGCATTGAAAATATTTTTGCTCGTACCTCCACACCCGTAGTTCAGTTTGCCCTGCACTCTTTTAGAGAGTGGTAGCGTTACTACTCTTTGTCACTACTTATGGAACTAATGGTGTTGTATGATGTTGTACAGTCATGTTCCTCATGTCTACACCATCAAAACGTATGTGATTCAGAGTTCCGGACATTCCAAGATTACGTGCAGGGCCTGCCCCCGGGCCGTCCAGGGAAACGAGGTTCTTGAACTAGTGTGCTTTTAACTTTTAAAGGGTACAATATGATGCAGACAATGTACCTTGAGAGGATTATCCATGATGGACATGGGCACGTCCAATATTGGAATGCCTTGTCGCTGGCCCAGACCTTCACAGCCTGAATGGTAAAGAGAAGAAATGCAACCACTGGTGTATGTTCATGAAAATTCGGAAATGCAAACCACTGGTATGTTCAACTTATGAATCATGCTATGGCCATGAATATTGGGTCGTAAAAATAATCTGCAGCTACTGCATCTACTGATTGCAGGTATACTAGGCACAAAAATATCCATGTATTTGAGGGAAAGATGGAAATGGGCGAGGTCAGAAGAACAAAGACTGTCACCATTAGGAATAGAACTGAGGACCTTAGTTTCAGGCCAGGGTTGCTCTAACCACTGAGCGATGGCGTGGCCCTCATCCCTGCAGAGATTATTCTGCATATGCTTCAGACTTTGAAACTCGCACACTTCCGAAGAAACCGCACAGGCGGTTAGAGCGCCGCGCTCACTGTAACCCACACACTTCATGTGCAAACTAGCGCATGGGGATCCCCACGTAATAGCTTTAATTCACGCATACTATTCATTGATTTGACGGAAAAATGGACACGGGAAAATTCCCCTTTACACACTAACACACACACAAACACACAAACACAGACGCACACGCACACACGCACACACACACACACACACACGCTTGTACTTGCTCTCTGCCAAAATTGGTCACGCGGGTCTCCCCAGGAGAGAGGAGAGGGATTGGAAAGGAATCTTGGAAGGATGACTCAATCGGCTATTGAACCACCCAATGGCCGAAACCCCATGAAATCCACAAACTATGGGGAGACTTGGAAATGGTCTCACTTATGTGCACACCGCACGGCAGTAAGTGGGCGAGGATAACGTGCAGAAAAGGGATTGACGGCATCAGGGTGTCTGTGTGTTGGGGTCCCACTGAATATTTTAATCGTACATGTGTCAGTATTACATTTACTGTTATTGATATGGAAATCCGGGCGTGCGTCTAGCGGCACCAGGGCGCTGCCCAAACAGCCGTGGGTGGTGAGCTGCAGCGTGCTGGTCGCATCAGATCAACATGACTGTGCACTGCATGTAATGTTCTGTACTGAGGGTGTCGGCCCCGGGCGATCGATTTTATTTCAATGTCCACGACAGTAGATGGATTGCAGAGATAGATATTAGATAAACTACTCACGAAAGAATGGTGGCGTCCACTCGACGTGCCAAGAATTCCGCGTCAACTCTCTTTAGTGCAGCGAATAGCTACTCGGTTCGCCACTAAGAAAGTGGAGTTATTGAAGTACGTCAGCTGGCAAGCAGCGGCTACAGAGTACAGACTTTGTCCTACTCTTATTTGAGAAGCGACAAACGTTTGTGTTGGAGCAACATCCAGTGAGTGAATCTATCGGTGTAGGCGTTCAAGAATTTGACCATGCCCAAATGACCTTGTGGAACAAATGCAACTCGAGCGGCGCGTTTTCGAACGCACTGGGCGCTGGTGCTCGAAGTCACCTGCGTTCACATATCTTCGAGTATCATCAGGCTTATATGCACCCGACGGCTGTCCAGGTTTGATCGCGGCCGAATTCCAATCCAGAAAGCACGCCGAAGGGCATCTAGGCCTTGTGTTCTTGAACGGCTGCCGTGAGCTCAGTCCAAGTGTACGAACGAGCATCGGGATGTACTTGTCTTTGTATGTGCACATCAGGTTGCAACTCCAACTCAAATAATCACGTGCTCAAATGTCACCAGTACGTGATAAGCAGATCATGTCGTCGAATTTCCGAAAAACTAGAAGTCACCTTGCACTGGTCAGAGGTCCGATCAACTAATTTACTTACTGGTACTTGTACATGTACTTGCAGGCGTTGTTTTGTTACCTTCTGGGTGGCTGGACACGCGTATTGACAGAGACTCGATTCTCAAGAATTGCGCCTAGCGCCTGTGTTCGTGCCAGAGGCGGTGCTATCTGTCTTGTCGACTGTCAAGTCTGCGCTGGGTCTGTCACTGGCGGAGGAGACAAAGCCCGTGCAAAATCTGCTAGCATATGAAGTGGATGATGGGTTGCATACTGGTCGTCACTAGAGATGAACGCTTCCGCCAACAGTTACATTACAAATCCAGCATTACTAACATAATTACGTCGTTTTAGAACGGACGACTTGGCGCATGTGTAAACAAACACGGTTTCACTTGTCTGTCGTTTAGGTGGCACAATCCTGGTTGGAGTTCAATGAACAGGGAAAATGATATCGGGATATACCAGCAACGGACGACCTCAATGTATGCAGCTTAGAATACGTCTGACTGACAACGCTGCAGACCTAGAATGAGCGTGATAGTTGCAATGACACTGGCGCAGGATATTCCACAGAAATGCGCTAGCTGCAGCTTTAGTCTGACTGATTTGACAGACCCGTGCCATGGTTGACATTCCTAGGAATAACTTGTCTTTGTAGGAACTTATCCATGTCCCCTTGCTACGTATATGTAGATCTACTCAATGATGCAGACAGCCAGACTGTTTCGGTCAATGAGGCCTTATCAGTGCAACTCCGAGCTTAAAGTAGGATTGAACTGTCATCCATGGCTGCAAGCATCACAGACATTAGGACAGCTGGGTGTAGTAGCGCTGAGAGTGATCAAACCTCTAGAAAAAGCGGGCAAAGCATAAAGCTAACCAGCACAAGTGCGTCCTATGGAGTGTGCTCTACAAGATCAAAATCTAGGAGAGAAATACTCAATGATGCAGACAGTCAGACTGTTTCGGCCAATGAAGCCTCATCAGTGGAACTCCGAGCTTAAAATAGAATTGAACTGTCAGTCATGGCTACGACAACCACAAATATTAGGACAGCTCAATGTACTAGCGCTAAGAGTGCTCAAACTGCTAGAAGCAGCGGGCAAAGCATAAAGCTCACCAGCGCAAGTGCGTCCTATGAATAGTGCTCTACAAAATCGAAATCTAGGAGGGACATACTCAATGGTGCATACAACCAGACTGTTTCGGCCAATGATGCCTCATCAGTGCAACTCCGAGCCAAAAATAGGTTTGAACTGTTGGCCATGGCTTCGAGACCCACAGACATTATGACAACTCGATGTACTAGCGCTGAGAGTGCTCAAACTGCTAGAAGCAGCGGATAAAGCATAAAGCAAACCAAGACAGGTGCGTCCTACGGAGAGTGCTCTACAAGATTGAAATCTAGGAGCGAAATACTCAATGATGCAGACAGCCAGACTGTTTTGGCCAATGAGGCCTCATCAGTGTTACTCCGAGCTTAACCCTCATTCCGGGTGGTGGGGTCCAGACAGACCCCATGTTTATGATTTTTAAATATTTTTACTTTACTGCATCACATCTCTCTCAAACTTCACAAAGGTAAAAAAGAATGGTTCCACCAAGTATATATACATACGTTGTAGCGCTGCGTTTCATGCACGTAGCTAAATGCTAAGGCAATCATCAGACAACTAATGCTTTTGTCGCGGGATAGCTTGTTCTGAGTGTGGGGGATCACATGAGCATGTAGAGGAGGTGTGAGTTATCAATGCAGGGCATGCATGGGAAGAGCGAGTGATAAGAATTACATCACTGGATGGGCATGCTCAGTAGGCGCGAACTATGCATGGAGCGTGCAGAGGCGGAGAAACCACCAGGCAGGACAAGGTTAAGCCTTGGGGGCATTGGGCATGGGGTGTGATGTGTGGCGGTGGACGCACACTCTGGTGTCCACATTCAACAGCCGCGGGAATTCAGAGGATGGGGCGCCAATAGTGGTAGCACGCGGTGGCTATGTCACGGCAGAGTAGGTGGAGAGGTAGAACTTGTTCTGGTGTCTGCACTTTGATACCAACTCCGACCTCTTGTTGAGCAGAGTGTGGGGCGTCTTGAAGGTGATGATGCGCATATTTTCTGCTAAACACAAGCAGCACTTTTTGGATATGTTGCTGTCGGACTTGGCCCGATCTATGACTGCCCATTTGATACTGTATTCCTCATCTTGGTCAGCCAGCGCCCATGTTTGCTTGGATAGCTCGGTTTGGTACGGTACTTTTCATGCCGCATGCTGGTTAGATGGTTGCCATAGCGCACCTTAAAGAGCGTCTCGCACAGGCCGCTGTATTGCCTTTCCTCGCCGGTACTTGGGGTTGTGACGGAGGCCTGGTTACCCACTTCCCCCTCTTAGCATTCGCCGCCCAAAGGGCATGATGGCTTGGCTTGGCAGTTGCACCCTGCCGCAGATTTTTCTTCACCAGGCGTTAGTATCTTTTGGTTATGTCCGTTCATCAGGTACGAGATGTTGGGCATGCAGGAGTAGCTCAACTTCAATGTGTTTCTGTTGAAGATCTTGTGTAGTGGCGACGCGGCAGGGAAAATCCCTGTAACTTCATGTATTCCTCAACTACACAATAACCGAGATAAATATAAAGTCTGGGTTAGAGGTTCATGATGGATTTCACTTTTATTACGGAAAATGCGGGCGGGGCCCCAGTGATAGAAAAATCAGGAAGTGCTACAATTGCAATGGTTTTGGTATTAATAAATTTTATTTTATCTATATGGTCATGGATGACACCAAGAGTAGATAAACAAGAGTGTGCAACTCCGGATCTCTCCTGCACAATCTGCAGATACCCCGCGCCCACGGCGGAATTTTTTGTTTACGTCACCTTTTTTCAGAGAAACGCGGCTTTGCCGCAGAGCAGTGTGAGAGCACGTGCTGGGCACCGACCTTGTAGTGTAAAGCCCAGCCAAGTGCACGAGGGAAAACTCTCCAAAAGGCTCGCAGCGCGTGCGTCGTCGAAAAGATTACGTCAACAAAAAATTCCGCCGTGGGCCAACCCATCCGCGAGTTGCACACTCTTGTTTATCTACTCTTGATGACACCCACTGAAGTATGAGGCCCTACAAGAAAATGTTCGTTTATGGCCATAATCCCTCATTCCATGTTGACTTTTTCCTACGTTCCCAGTATATTGGGGTACTTTTGGACCCCCGAAACGTTTCGGGTGGTATTCTTGCAAAGTTGCAAAATAATCCCGACAAACTTCAGAGCTGTCAACAAATTCAGTTTGGGCAAAGCAGTGGTCTATGGGAAGGTAACACAGGAAGAAATAACATAAAAATTGATGGAGAGATTGCAAGAATACCACCCAAACCATTCCCGGGGTCCAAAAGGACCACAATATACTGGGAACGTATATTGTTTCGGCCAATGAGGCCTGATCAGTGCAACTCCGAACTTGAAATAGGCACATGTAGATCTATGTGTAGGCACGTTTGGCATAACGTTATACCCATGTCTGTTAGATGGAGAAATCACCTTGATCAATGATGAGTGTAAGGCTGTGTTTACATGAAGCATTTCCACCCGGTTCGAGTTCACCCTGGGTTGAAAGTCTGTACGAAAGACAAAATAGGTGAGCATTTACATGAATATAGTTGACCCGGGTCTAATGCTGATATACCGCTAAAAGTACACTTCTAGAGTCCTGTGTGGTCACGTGAATCCGTTCGTGCGAAAATTGCATGTGCAGTGCTGTTCCAAACTGTCGCGAGATACACACACAAGTACGTTTGTACGATTTTCTTGACCAGGGTTGATATTTCAACCTGGGTCAAGCGCAATGCGTCATGTAAACGCGCCATTCATTTTGTGCACAAGGTGGGTTGAAATCTGACAGGGGTCGAACTCAACCCGGGTTGAAACGCCTCATGTATACACAGCCTTAAGCTTCCAATGTGCTACTAGTGAGTGAGAGTAGAGACGTCAAACCACAATATGGGTGCACACGTGCCGCGAAAATGATCAGATCTCCACGTCTCCATGCATCCCTGAGATCTGATAGGATTTCGGGTACCCTTATCGCTTTGCAAAACCCACTGAACTACACTTCAGTGGGTTGCTTGTAGTGCTTGTAGACCTGCGGATGGTAAAGAGACAAATTGCTAAAGACCACAAGGGCATGCAAACAAGCAACAAAGTACAAGGCCAAAGCGTGAAACGGCTTGCTTCTACAGCTTGCTTCTACAGTTTATTGGAAACTGGCACCCTAATTTTTCTCTCACATAGTTGTAGATATCGTGAAAACAACAGTACGTCCTGCATTGTGTGACCCGTGCAATTACTCCTTGCCATATTTGTGGCCAGAAAAGTCCAAGAACAGGGAAATAGAAGTTCAGCCAGGTTTAACAAAATACGGATAGTTATGCCATGGCAAAATGTATGGAGAAGCAGATCCAAAACCCGTATTTTTGAGATTTAAAATGGGTTTTTCATCCTCAATTCGGCCCAAATCGGACTTTCAAAAGCCAGCGGGCCAGTTTCCGATGAATACTGTAGTAGCGATCCAGTGCAGCCAGTCCACGGTCTGCACAGACACACTCTGCTGTCATGATGAAAAGCCTACAGAGATTGGTGCAATGCCCAGTCCACCACGTGCAAGCACTAGAAGTTCCGGCTTTTCGGCAAAATATCAACCAG